ACAGACTCGTGGACACAGTCGGGGAAGGAGAGGGTGGGATGAATTGAGACAGTAGTGAGGAAACATATACATTACCATATGTAAAACAGATAAACACTGGGAATTTGCTGTGTGACACAGGGAGCTTAATCTAGCGCTCTGTGACAACCTAGGGTGGTGGGATGTGGTGGGAGATGGGAGGGAGGTTCAAGAGACAGGGGACATATGTATACCTGTGGCTAATTCATGATGATGTATGCCAGAAAGCAGCACAATATTATAAAGCAGTTACCCTCCAATTAAAAAAAAAGGCATAACGGGTAGGATTTTAAACCAAAGTTTTAGTCCTTAGAGAAGAAAGTTCTAAGCTATCCAAAAAACTCTACTATCCACAAATATTTATTCTTTATGTTTTCAGAAAATTCAGATTTGATTAAACCTAAACAAACTGAGAAGTCTGTTCTTAGTGAACCCTAGGATAAAGAATTCTAATTAGAGAAAGAGTTTGGGAGGAATATGTTAAATGATAGGAAAGTGACACTGTTGAGACTGGGAATATAATTATTATTATAAAAATACTGTATAATAAAAGTTTGCTCTAGACCCATTTTTTTTTAATGTCAGAATTTAGATTTTTCAGAAACAAATGTCCTTGTCTCTTTGCTGTGTTCCTGTGTTAACTTGGCTGTCTCATTGGAGATGGGGACATTTCCTAGTGAAATTAATGTGACATTTACAGAAAATTTCCCCTCTCAAATGTTTCATGTTATTTCCCATTCAGAATACTTAGAGAGGGGACTAGAATAATGTCAAGCAAATTTTGATTAAATAAGGCTAACTGGGAGCCAATACATTCATGCAAAAAAGAAAAGCTCTTTTACTATTTCCTAAAATGTGTATTTCTTTTGTCATTTTTTAAGCCTTTGTTGACCTTGTTAGATAATCTGGCAAAAGAGATGCCATCTTCTGGGCTTGCCTTAGAAAACACAGCACATCGGGTCAAAGCCAGTGTCTGGTCTTTTGCCCAAGACAGTTCTCCACTCTGGATGTCTGTTAGGATTACCTAGGAAGCTTTTAAAAAGTACTAATGCCTGGGCCCCACTCCAGACCAGTTACCTCAGAATCTCTTGGAGTGGGATCTTCTAAACAGTATTAAAAAAAATAAATTCCCTAGTTGACTCTAATGTGCAGTTAGGGCTGAGAACCACTGGCTTAAGACTTGCAAACTATTCATTAGAAAAATTATTTCCTTCTTCGGGGTGGTCTGAGTCTCACTCTTTGCTCTACCTGAAGTGTGAAAAAAAAAATACACTTTTTCAGTGCATTTGGATTTGAGCACACACTTTGAATCAGTACAAGCAAGAATACTTGTTGTTATTTTACCCTGACTCATCATAGGCCATCTATGGCCAGTTGGCTCAGTTGTTTGGATTGTAGTCCTAATGAGGCCAGAATAGTATATCTTCTCCAATTATTAATAGAATAATTCTGTTGCATAGGTTGTTTCCATAGTTCTCACCAAGCTGCCTCACAAAGAGACCTGAGACTGATTACAGAGGCAAAAGGCAATGGATGACTCAGCATAGCTCCATCTACTGTGGGGAAATCGGTTCTAGGAACCTGCCTCATGACTAGTGCTTCTAATTGCATGAGGATGTAGCATGGGCCATCTGTCTATTATGGTTTGTGCTGGTTTGGGGGATAGAATATTTACATTTGAAGGTCAGGACAGATGAAAATGGGTGGTGGGGGTCGGGGGTTTACCCTTTTAGAGTAAAAAGAGAAAGATAGCAAGGTGATAAGCGTCAATGATACTTTCCTACCTACAGTGGCAGATCACGCCTGGCATATCTGTCCAGGCTAATCCATCTGTATACCACAGCAAGGGAAAGAGAATTGCTAAGTTTCTATAAGTCTTCTAGACCTGTGTCCTCCTATAACTCAGTGCCTGTGAGTGGGAATCCTCAAGGTGAGATATAGTATTCCATTAGGACCAAGAAGTAGTACAGTCACAAGGGATAAATTTGTATGGTTTAGCTTATTTGCCCAGAGTTCTGTCATGTCCACTGGGCTCTGTATTTGATGCACAGTGCACACAGATTGGACATCCATATATGCAAGGCGGTATGAAATATTTTACCTGAAAACTGATTTAATGTGGCAATATCTTGGAATGTTGCTCATCCTTTCTGTGCAAAGCTAGTATCCTCCTTTCTTTTACATCTGTGTCTCTGTTAACTTCTTTGAAAAAATGATTTAGGAAGTTTGGAGGCTGCGATGAAATGTGTGCTACATGGTACTTTTTCATTGCCCAAATGGGGCAAATCCCAGATCCTGTTTGGGAATCCATGTTCTGAAGAAAGCAGAGGATAAGGATTTCTACCATTCCTACCATGAGTTATGACAAATGCACTTGAAATTCCCCTTAGGATTTGTTTTCTGTTATGCCTATTTTAGGGCTTCCCAGGTGGCGCTAGTGGTAAAGAACCCGCCTGTCGATGCAGGAGACATAAGACATGGGTTCGATCCCTGGATCGGGAATATCCCCTGGGGGAGGGCATGGCAACCCACTCCAGTATTCTTGCCTGGAGAATCCCCTGGACAGAGGAGCCTGGCAGGCTACAGTCCATAGGGTCGCAAAGAGTTGGACATGACTGAAGCAAATTAGCACACGTGAATGCATGCCTATTTTAAAGAGGAGGAAAGTGAGACACATAGAAATTAAGTAATTTGCCCAAGGTTGCACAAACTAATAATTAAACTCAGTGCTTAATCAGTTCCCTGTTTTATTTGGGCAGAATCCTTGTTTGTGTGTATGGGGGGGCAGTTATCATATTTCTTGTACTAAGTTGCTTTAGTTGAGTCTGACTCTTTGCAACCCTATGGACTGTAGCCCACCAGGCTCCTCTATCCATGGGATTCTCCAGGCAAGAATATTAGAGTGGGTTGCCATGCCCGCCTTCAGGGGATCTTCCCAACCCAGGAATCAAACCTGCATCTCTTACATCTACCTGCATTGGCAGTCGGTTTCTTTACCACCAGCACTACCTGGGAAGCACTTAGCAGACTTCTGCTTATTAAATTATATATTGTACTGAATATCATAGAAGAGCACATTTACCCAACACTATTTTTGCCTTTTATATGGTGTAAAAATTAATTCAAGAAGTGCTTGTTGGTTGACTCACTGATGGATAACCTCTTCCAGCACTATATTCGCAATGCAGCTTCAAGTTTGCTTCCTTCTCTTGTATTTATGTTTGCAACAATTTCAGCCTCCATTTTCTTATGAACCAATTAGAAATGAACTAACCCTTTTGATTTTAATTCTCCCAACCCATTCCTTCCAACAACACCAAAACTTACTTGTGATTTTCATTAAAGGGGATTTTATCCTTTAGAAAAAGCCAGTGTGCTTGCATGTCTGCATGCTCAGTCGCTTCAGTCAGGTCTGATTCTGTTCTGACCCCATGGACTGTAGCCCACCAGGCTCCTCTGTCCCTGGGATTCTCCAGGCAAGAATACCGCAGGGGGTTGCCATGCCCTCCTCTGGGGGAATCTTCCCAACCCAAGGATTGAGCCTGTATCTCTTCTCTTTCCTACACTGGCAGGCAAGTTCTTTACCACTAGTGCCACCTGGGAAGCCCAGATATAATTACACAGCTCATCTTCAAATAAGGGGCATGGGGAGAACATGGGCATGCACTTGTAAGTACAGGAGAGTGATGGGGATTTAGTTTTCTTCTCCTTACATTCTCTTTCTCTCACCTACTCGCCACCCCCATCCCCACCTACTCTAGATACTTAGAGTCCCTATACAGACTGTTGGCCATTTGGTACTCATGTGGTAGAACTACTATCACCTGTCCTGTTTTCCTGTTTTCAAGGAGTCTGAGCTCCCTGAAACCTAAAGCTGCATCTAAGAGCCTAGCATAGTTCATGTGTGACATGTAGTCATCTGAAAGGAATCTGCTGTTTGTTAGCTCGACAGCTATTGTGTTTCCTTTCACAGGCACTTTCAGTTGAAGTGATTTCAGAAAGCCCTAAGGAATGGTGAGAATGGTGAGAATTTCTGGTAGATTGGCAGGAGGGCAGAGGAGATGGGCATTTTTCAGTTTATACAGTGATTAACGAGAGTAGTACTTTAGTTTTGGACATAAGATCAATGATTTTAGGACCTCCAGTTACTTCAGTGTTGACTTTTCCCTGTGTATCCCCGTCCTAAGGCTGACCCGCCTTCAATCCGCCCCCAACCTCTGGATGCTTATCAGCTGTTTTCCCAACTTTTATCTGGCAGGTATTCTGCATTTGCTTTTGTAAAGCTGTTGCTCAGGCAGTCTACTGTAACCACATTAGACAGTGTGTTTTAATGATAGGAGCTGAGACAGGGCTTTACTTTCAAACTTCATGTTTCACATGAAAGGCTTTGGCACCCCCTGTGGACTGCTTTTCACCCCGTTTTAGGTGTAATACTTGTTTGCCTTTATATCTGTGGTAAAATGAAGGCCTCCTTATATAACCAGTGCTGAGCAAAATGTCTTAAAGGGAAGTGCAGAGTTTAAATCCACAGTGGGGGATTACCTTGCCTGCATTTCCATATCTGTGGAATAAATATTTTAACATGTTAATTATCTACTAGTAATAAAAATACCTTTGAACTTCCAGTCAATTTGATGGGCACAGAATTGTGTTCACTGGGGAATGGGAAGCAATTAGTTTCTGTAAAGAGTTTTGGTCATGCTGTATCTTCCCTAAGTGGTTGCATGGTCGGTAGTCAGGCGTATTCTAGGGGATGTTTGTGTCAAGTTCATCTTCCTCTGGCCAGGGGACTGCCTCCACAGAGCCCCCAGGACCCCAAGGAGGTGGCAGGTATTCGTCAGGGTGTTGCCCCACTATGGCCTTAGTTTCTGATTCATTCATTGCCTCTTGCCCAGTAGAAAAATTCCTCCTAAGTAGGACAGTTTGACTCTTTTCATGAATTACCTCCATAACATTTTTAATCTTTTCTTTCCCCACTGCAGACTGAAAATTATTCCTTTGACTCCAACTACGTGAACAGCCGAGCCCATTTAATCAAAAGGTATGTTGGTTTGCTTGCCTATTTCTACAATTAAGCTCAATTTAATACAAAAAGCAAGAAGATATTTTTTAATGATGCCTTTTCAGATTTTAAAGTGAAAATGCTTATCTGCTTATTGTAGGAAATTAGGGAAATTCAGAAAAGCATTAAAAAAAACTAAATAAAAGTCACTGGTAATTCCACCACCCAAAATCACTGTTGGCATTTTATCATGTTTCTTTATGTAACTGTATACAGAAATAATTCAATTAAAATTAGGGTCATATTAAAATGTGATGTGATTATTTAGAAATCTAATATTAAAATTTTCTCCTGTGTATCTTCTATTGAATTTTAAGATGGTTGATGGCTGTTATTTTGACAACTTTGAAATCATTTTAAGGCTATTTTAATGACAGATAAACTAACCTCTTATCTTTAAAAAACTTTATAGATGAGATAGGGAAAGATAATATACTTGCCAATACAATAAATCTTAAAATAGGTATTTCAAACAAAGCATTCAAAGTTGAGATTTGTGTGAATGGTTGCTCATAACTCAGTTATTCATGGAGACACAGTGTATGTGGATACAGAGCTAATACTGCCTGGAAGCTTCCAGGAAGGAAGAGTCCATCTGGTGCATTAGTCACCAAGGTGCCCAAGGCAGGCAAGATGAGGGGTTTAGGGGGTTCTCTAAGCAGAGACTTTGTGCAGAAAAGCTGGTACTGACCATTCAGATAATGCCTTTATTACTGTTTGATCCAATTGTCCTCTTAAATGGTCCAGTGGTTATTCTGTAACTAAAATTGAACTCTGTGTGTGATTGTTAATAGAAACGAAATAGAGGAGCAAGCAGGGTATGTTAGAGCTGCAGTAGACAAGATCTGAAAATTCTATTATTTTGCTGGCTCTAATCCCATAAATTGATATCACCAGAAAGGAAGGATTTGAGGAATAAGCTAGTTTGTTGTAGAAACAACTTTAATTCAGATCTAGTTTAATTCACGATGCTACAGTAATGCCTACTAACATGCTAGGCTTATCTTTATCAGTCTGGAATAACTTGTGACCTTAAGTGATAATTATTAATTATGTGAAAATGGATAGCCCAATATTAACAGTCATAGCATTGTTTGGAATTTTTTGAGGGATTGGGAAGGATCCATTTTGAATATCTCTTGGCCCACAGAATAAATCAAAAGATGAGGAAATCAAAATTATTCAACTGATTTATTAGGAAGGATGAAAGCCCTCTTTTTGTACACTGATTAGAGTAACTGCAGCAGAAATTTGCTTTCTTTTCTGCTTCAGAACTGTTATTTCAAAGCTCCTTTTTTCAGACTTCTGATAAAAACAGTGAGTTACCTATCCTCACAGGCACCTTGGGCTAGCTCTGGGTACCTGGGAATTCTAAGACCAGGTTCATAGCATGAACCTGATTTTCATAGCATGGCAGAAGGCTAAGACGCTTGGGAACCCTCATCATCTTAGGTCAGACCTGAATATCCAATTCACAAGGCAAACTGATGAGATGAAAACTTATGTTCAAACATTTAGCTTTTGAGACACATGTATTTCTTTAGCAGCTTTGGGACTCACTAGGGCTTCTGATTTTGATTAATTATATGTTTTTGTTTACACACGTGTACACACAAAAGGTACAACATGGACTTAATAGGTTCTTAGTGGAAAAATTGCCTGATGTTCCCTGAGATCAAAGATAGTGCTTTTTTTTTCTTTCCTTCAATCAGGGATCACCTTGGTTAAGAGGAAAGCTCAGGAACACAAGCATTTTTACCAGGTTCTGTTTTTGGAACCCTGAGTTTTGGAAAACTACAAAGGTCTTGGAATTTATGGGATCACTTGAATTTAGACAAGCACAATACCTGGAAAGACACAGGAAATCTTGTGTGCTATGCTTTTTGAGGGGGACTAACTATTTTAAATGTAAAATGTGTGGAAAGCGTTAAGAGAGTAGTAACTAACGTCAGGTGATAAAACCACACAAACTGTGTTTACATAGCTCACAGTGATGTTTGAAAGGTATTTCACTGTATGTGGTTTCTTGAGGATCCACTTATGTGCATGGGAAATCTCCTGGCCAGAAAATTCTGAATCTGATTATCAGTCTTAATTTTATTATCAAGTTCTTGTTTCTTCAAATGCCAATCCCATTTCAGGCCAACTTTGAGAACTTCTTTTCCTATCCATTTTTTTCTTCTTCTGTTTGCTTTCTACCCACCCAAGGATTCTTCTTAGACCCTTCTTTTTGGCATTCTCCAGGGCTTACTGTCTTATGTGCAGGCTTCCTTTTCTCTCTCTCATCTGTCTACCTGAGGTAAACCAACAGAAAGCCAGAAGGCAAGAGACTTTCTCCTAGCACAAATGAAGGTTCAGAAGGGTGAGGAGTAGATCAGGAAGTATATATAGAAGAAGATATATAGCACATTGCCCCATAATCTTCAGCACTGAGTAATCTAGTGATTTATTTCTGTAGTAAATAAATACTACAAGTAAATAAATACTACAGGTTCAGGCCATCTATAACCTGTAGGTATACCCAAGGTTTATGTCAGAGTCCCAGATTAACAAGCCAAGACAGTTCAGAATTTTTTCTGGACTAATTTCCTTCCTGGTATGTTTGTTGCCTTGTTATCATCTCAGAGCAAGGAAAGCCAGCAGTGGGACATTGCCCCTGCTGCAACACCGTCTTTCCTCATGCCATTTTTCTGTACTGCTGTCTGATACCCACTCCTGCAGTGCTTTTGAGCAATATCAAGCAGGGCATGAGGCTATAGCTCAAAGAAGTGAACTCAAAGCAGGAAATGAACATGGCTCTGAAGCAGTGTGGGAAAGAAAATGAGCATTGGCTCCTAAACCATACAGAGTGCTTTCCTTTTCCACCTGAATTGTCCTGGGGTTTTGCAGCACCTGATATGGTGCCTTGTCTATAACAAATGCTGGTACATGTCTATTGAAGGAATGGATGAAAAAAGTTTAAAAGAACTCAGCATTTTTCCATGGAGAACTAGCATTAAACGTTCCTCTATACTGGCAATTTCTGGCCTCTTATGTGCATTAGAATCACCTGGGAGGCTTGTTAAATGCAGGCTCTACCACCATCCCTAGAGAGTCTCCAGTTTTCACAGGTTCCCAAGGTGATTGTGATGCAGGTGATCCAAGAACCACTCTAGAATCTTATGTTTCTTAATATAGTTACCCTACTCTTTTGACTTTTAGTCCATTCTTATTCTCAGAAGATATTTCCTGGGTATGTGGTGTTACCTACTAGAAATATATGCTCTCCTTTCAGATTTTTCTGTCCTTTGAAAAGATTTCTAATATTTTTAAGTGTAAATATGGGTCAGAATGTTAGTAATGTTCATTCATCAAGTATTGTATCAGTCTTATGTACAGAATCTTATTCCAAATTTTTTCAAACTTGTTCCTCTGTTAGTCACTGGAACAAGTAATAGAAACACCTGTATTTACATTACCATTGCAAAAAGAACCCTAATTTATTGTCCCAAAAGTTGGTTTACAAGTCTTTCATCTCCCAAGAGGTACACAGGTAATAAAGTAAGTGAAATCAGCATTTTTTTATGTCTGGCATAAATTGTTATTTGTTTTGGATGAGTGGCCATTCACCAGGCTGTTTTACAATTTGCAGCATCTTGTTTACTGAGTCTTAAACTGCCTTACAGAAATCTATTCATTAAGCCACTAAATGTCCTTACATGATGAGAGTAAGTGGCACTTAGTTTGTCAGATGGACAAACTGATCTTTATACAAGTTAACTATTTTAAGGTGTGGCGGAGGGGGTTAATACACTTTGCTTTTTCTTTAGAGAACATATGACTTCTCATTCTCAAATTACCAGTCCCTTAAGTCCAAGTAGCCAATTATTCACTATTTTGTTATTTCTCTTCTTTCTATAAAAAGCCAAAAGCTCCAATGTGGTTAAAATTTTGATCATCATTTTTATATGTATCTAAGTAGGTACATATAAAAATGATGATCAAAGTTTTAAAAGTCAGAGCCAAAACCAATTAGGAAAAGCAAAATAGAGATCCCTGGCATCTAACTCACTGCAATTAAACATTATATTTTCCTTGAAGCTTTTGAGAAGCCAAGACAGAGTAAGTATACCAGAGCATGTCATTCTCATTTTTCAATAAAGGAAGGATACCCGTTGGATAGGATAATTTTTTTCCTGTCCCTTAATTTTAGAAGAAATTAATGTAGTGGACAATGTCTGACTATAGTTTACAGAAGATATAGAAGCATTATTTATATGTACATTTCGTATATCAATCCTATAAAAAGTCTATGTACATTTCTCCAAAGAAGACATACAGATGGCTAACAAACAAATGAAAAGATGCTCAACATCACTCATTATCAGAGAAATGCAAATCAAAACCACAATGAGGTACCATCACACGCCAGTCAGAATGGCTGCTATCCAAAAGTCTACAAACAGCAAATTCTGGAGAGGGTGTGGAGAAAAGGGAACCCTCTTATACTGTTGGTGGGAATGCAAACTAGTACAGCCACTATGGAGAACAGTGTGGAGATTCCTTAAAAAACTGGAAATAGAACTGCCATATGACACAGCAATCCTACTGCTGGGCATACACACTGAGGAAAAAAGAATTGAAAGAGACACGTGTACCCCAATGTTCATCGCAGCACTGTTTATAATAGCCAGGACATGGAAGCAACCTAGATGTCCATTGGCAAATGAATGGATAAGAAAGCTGTGGTACCTATACACAATGGGATATTACTCAGCCATTAAAAAGAATACATTTGAATCAGTCCTAATGAGGTAGATGAAACTGGAGCCTATTATACAGATTGAAGTAAGTCAGGAAGAAAAACACCAATATAGCATACTAACGCATATATCTGGGATTTAGAAAGATGTAACGATAAGCCCATATGCGAGACAGCAAAAGAGACACAGATGTATAGAACAGACTTTTGGACTCTATGGGACAAGGCAAGGGTGGGATGATCTGAGAGAATAGCATTGAAACACATATATTATTATATGTGAAACAGATTGCCAGTCCAGGTTCGATGCATGAGACAGGGTGCTCAGGGCTGGTGCACTGGGATGACCCAGAAGGATGGGATGGGGAGGGAGGTGGGAGGGGGGTTCAGGATGGGGAACACATGTAAATCCATGGCTGATTCATGTCAATGTATGGCAAAACCACTACAATATTTTAAAGTAATTAGCCTCCAATTAAAAAAAAGACTATATAATATTTAGTTGTAAGTCAATGAAATCATTACCATATATGGGGGTAATGATCATATTAGGCAATAACCATTTATTGAACATTTGTGTATAACTGGTACTTCATGTGAAGTATTTCATGAAGGCCTCAAAATGGCTTTGTAAAGGAGGTTTTAGCAAATGCATTTTTCTAGGGTTTAATTTTTCATTATTTTTTGTTGAAAATTGGAGTATAGTTGATTAATAATCATGTGCTTAGTTCCTCAACAAGGGATTGAACTCAGGGCTTTGGCAGTGAAAGCATGGAATCCTAACCACTGAACCTCCAGGGAATTCCCAGCAGATGCATTTTACAGACAAGGAAATCAAGGCACAAAGACATTAGCTATCAGACCCAGGTTCCCATACATGAAGTGGCAGACTAAGGATTATCACTTGTTCTGATGACTCCAAGTTCAATGCTGTTTGCGCTACTGTCAGGAAATATAACATGTTACAGGAATAGAGTTTAAAGAACCTAGAGCAGTGGTTCTCAACTGGGAGTGATTTGGCAATATCTGGAGACATTTTTGGTTGTACCTTCTGGGAGAGGCATGGCTGGCATCTAGTGCATAGTGGCCAGAGATGCTGCTAAACATCTTATAATAGACAGAACACCTGCCTCCCCCCACCAACAGACTTATACAGTGTCAGTAGTGCCAAGGTTGGGAACCTTGCTCTAAAAGAATGGTTAATTACATTGTCCTTGTTTTATACCCCTCACCATCATCTATCTCAAGCAAGTTTTAGCAACTGCTGAAATGCAGTCAAGTCAGGGTTTAATTCTGTGGTTTAAGGTAACAATCATGCATTGTGAACTAAAGAAATTGGAAAAGGGAACCCTCTAACACTGTTGGTGGGAATGGAAACTAGTACCGCCACTATGGAGAACAGTGTGGAGATTCCTTAAAAAACTGGAAATAGAACTGCCATATGATCCAGCAATCCCACTCCTGGGCATACACACCGAGGAAACCAGATCTGAAAGAGACACGTGCACCCCAATGTTCATCACAGCACTGTTTATAATTGCTAGGACATGGAAGCAACCTAGATGCCCATCAGCAGATGAATGGATAAGAAAGCTGTGGTACATATACACTATGGAATATTACTCAGCCATCAAAAAGAATTCATTTGAATCAGTTCTAAAGAGATGGATGAAACTGGAGCCCATTATACAGAGTAAAGTAAGCCAGAAAGATAAAGACTGATAGAGTATACTAACACATATATATGGAATTTACAAAGATGGTAATGATAACCCTATATGCAAAACAGAAAAAGAGACACAGATGTACAGAACAGACTTTGGGACTCTGTGGCAGAAGGCGAGGTGGGGGGATGTTCTGAGAGAATAGCACTGAAACAAGTATACTATGAAGGGTGAAATAGATCACCAGCCCAGGTTGGATGCGTGAGACAAGTGCTCAGGGCTAGTGCCCTGGGAAGACCCAGAGGGATCGGATGGGGAGGGAGGCAGGAGGGGGGATCGGGATGGGGAACACATGTAAATCCATGGCTGATTCATGTCAATGTATGGAAAAACCACTACAATATTGTAAAGTAATTAGCCTCCAACTAATAAAAATAAATGAAAAATTAAAAAAAAAGAAATTTTCACATGCTTCAGATAGCAGGAATGAATGTAGGTCAAAAATTATTTGTTATAAAAATGCAGTAAGATAGTAATAAGTGTCAATAAGAATGCAATAAGTAATAATGGAGCCAGTGAGACCATCCAGGCAGGTCATTTCCTTTCTCCTGAGGTGAGGGGTGCATGTGGACAGGACCAGTTTTTTTTTTTTTAAAGCAAACTTTGAATCTGTTCATTCTGTGGCATTAGTACTTACAGGATTCCGCTAAATCTGTGCCACGAAGCTAGAGATGGTGACACACTTTAAAGCATGTGTTTCCAATTGGTCTTAATGACCATAAAAAACTCAAAAAAAAAAAAAAAACTCATAGGATGATTGGTTTTTGAATAGAACTGCATCCTGGTGGGTCCACAGGGCTGAGTAGCTACATGACATAATTTGAAGGAGCTGAGTGAGTTGGCCTATTGAGTGATTTTAGTTTTAATACAGTTGATGCTCAGTTATTCTTTCTGAAAATAATTAGCAAATAGGTCAGTGCTTCACCCCCTTTTGCCCTTCATTTTCTGATAATTATGGCTTTCCAGTTACTGCCCTTTTGATCTTTTCCTTTTCATATTCAAGGCAGCAAACATTCTACATCTAGGTTGGTCATATGTTAAAAATCTGCTGTCATTACTTTTGACCAGTGTGGAGAATGACAATGTAGCCATTGTGTCCATGGCATAGCTCTTCATCATATGTACTTAGTGTTCTTATCAAAGCCTCAGAGAGCCAGGCCTGTGGATGTTCAAGGTTGAGCAGATCAAGTGAGTTTGCAGTGTCATCTCCACAGGGCTCCCTTTTCAGAAGTACAGTAGGTCTGTTGGGACTTGTCCTAATTCACAAGCATGCTGCTCTCCCTTGTTGAGACAACAACACATTTTCTTGAGTATGCCTTTGCTGCTTCCTCACTGACTAGGGAATGGATTCACCATTCACTAGGTATTTCAGATGCATAATTTATAGTCCATGGTGCATCACAGCTGCACATTCTGTCAGGACATACAAAGTATTAGAAAGAGCAGATGAAGCCTCTATGGATGTACCTGATGTATTATTCTCTATTTTTTGAGAAATGGTGTGGGGTTCTTAGGTAGTATGGTTAGTGCACGGAATGGTGGATTGATTTACTAAGTGCAAGAAAAATTTACCCACAAAGTCTTAAGCTGCAGGTTGCCATGTTCTTAGCATAACTGCACTCACTGTTTCCTCTGGTTCTCACTTTCGTCTTACTTTCCATGCACCAAGACTCTCTTCTCAGTTCCTACCTCTCCTTTTTTTCTTTGACTCTGTCCCTCAGCCTCTCTCAGTTAAATCTGACCCGAGTTCTCTGATCCTGATAACCCTTTCTATTTGAATTGCATTATGTCAATTTCTGCCACTTTCATTTTCACAGTTGCTTAGTAGACATCTTTGGAGAGGCAGTATAAATAGGGGTTAAGGGGCCAGGCTCTGGAGTCAGACCACCTGGGTTTGGTCTTAAATCTGCTACATTTTAACCAGCTGTGTGAACTTGGACAAGTTATTTAACTTATGTGTGCCTCTTTTTTTTCATGAAATGTGAATATTAATAGCACCTTTCTTTTATAGAGTTGTGATTATTTTAAAAAGTTAACTCATATAAAACACTTAGAACAGTGCCTCATGCACAGTAATCCCTCAGTAAACTTTAGCTGTTATTATTTTACTTTGATTGCATAAGAGGAAAAAACCTTCTGAAATGATGATGATTTTTTGCAGGTGGTTGTTTCAGAATTGTAGTTCCTTCTGCCTCGCCTGTAGTGATGCCCTGAAGATAAGTGAATGAAAGTGATTAGCTTCATCAGCATCCAGTAGTGGGAACTTCTCTACAGTGTTAAGTTCCATGATTTTTAAACAGAAATTTTTCTTCCTCCTGCCCTGTTGGACCATATAGTCGCTGTTGGCCTCATCACAGAGCTGACATCATCCTGGCTCTGAAATATTTTTAAAAATCAGATCTGTCACAGTTATAAATTATCATTCTTTCTTCAACCCAGCAGCTCCACCTTCAAGGACTTAGAGGGCAACAGCCTAAAGGATAGCGGCCATGAGGAGAGTGACCAGACCGACAGTGAACATGATGTCCAGCGAAGCCTGTATTGTGACACTGCTGTCAATGATGTGCTGAACACCAGTGTGACCTCCATGGGATCTCAGATGCCTGACCATGGTAAGAGCTGATTGGCTATAAGTTGCAACCATAGATTCCAAAGAACTCAGGATGTTTAGAGGCTCATTGTACTCCTGTACTTTTCTTTACTGTAATGAGTGTATGTTGAAGGTATGTATTATTCTCATGCCTCAACAGCCCCTAAAGGGTTTTGAGATGTCCTGACACCTGTCCAGACTCTTTGCTCTCTCTGAGTGGATTCACTATGATCATATAAATGTTATGTTTAAGCACTTAAAAAGCTGACTACCTATGCATATTGCATACACACTTGTCAATCATAACTGCATCACACACATAGGAAATGAGCAGGTGCCTTCTCACCAGGAATAAATGCTTCTTTTTGCTTTAGTACATAAATTCAGTCGATCAGTTGAGTTGCAGAGAACACAGCACTTATGACATCAAAGGGGTGAGTTTTATTTCCACATCAGGCTAGTTAGCTTTACCCAGAAGGAGACTCTCACCACATATTGTATACTCTTTACTGAGGAGACAGAGTACAAGACTTCCCATTTTGTCTATGAGGTGGTGATGCCACCAAATCCCTCTAGCTACCAGGCAAATGCAAGTCACTGGTCATAGGAGACACCAGAGTAAGAAAACATGGCTGACTTAATGTAACATTCTGTGCATGTCAAAAATGCCTCAAAGCACGTGTCAGGAATGACATCCTCATATATGAAGAAGAGTCTATTTTTGGGAATCTAGCACACATGCTTTAGCAAGAGGAACTATTTAAAACTGTTCCAAGCATAAACCAGGGTATAAAAACATTAGCAGAGTTCAGCTAAGGCAGAATGTTCAGATGGACTTGGGCACAAATGTCATTTTCAATGTTTTACTGATGCAAACATGCTAGGCAAACAATCTGTCTTTTTCAATTAAGAACTATGAATTCAGCTTGGTGTTTAGGCTCAGTGAGGCTTCAGAATGCTTGGCCATGTCTTGAGAGTAGCTAGACACAAGCTCAGCTGGAAGCCCTGCTGCTAAAAGGCTTAAAGATGAGAAAACAAAATACGGTGATTATGTGCTGGTCTTCAACTATTTCATTTCACTGTATGCATCATTAAATGGCTTTGTTTTGATTTTGTAAATGAATCCAGAGGGACAAAAAATGCATGATCCACAAAACAAATTGTTTTCAGTGGGGAAAAAGTTTGTCGCTGTAGATTCTACTAGATAGTTTAATCCATCCCTTTCCCAGCAGATCCAAGTGTCAAAGTCTATAATATATGTAAGTCACTACCAATTGTGAGCTGCTGCCTTCCCTAATTGGTGAGTGGGGACATCTGCAGAGATAATATACTTTCCAAGCAACCTAAGACTAAAGATGAAAAAATTAAACATTTATATAACTGAAACAGAGGCTATTTAATTCTCAGAGGATTAGCAGCATGTCACAGAATACAGACTGATGTGTATCATTTACTAGTCTGTGTCTCAAAGAAATGCTTTTTCATTTATATCAGAAAGGGTTTTAGTTAGATGCTCTCTAAAATGAAATAACTCCAGGAAAAGAAATAGTCATAATTGATTCTCACTTTGTGCCTGGCTAGAACAACATCTGTTTTTTTTGTCCTGTATCTCTAGGAAAACAGTACCAGTGGACTGGAGCTAGTTTTGCTGAGGGGGTGTTTCTTACAAAAGGGATGTATTGTATGTATATCCTGTAGATTGTGTAATAATGAGATTCTAAAGCAAATGTATGGCATCATCCCAAGACTCTCCTACATTTAAGGTGGGGATCACACACACACTTTTTTGCTGTTCTATTTTGGCACACTTTTACATTTTGTTTCTCAGTATTCAGTTCTCATACATGTATCTTCATTTTTTTCCCATTGTTCTAGCAGTGGCTAAACCTTGAACCATCCTTTGTGTTTGTTCTTTGCAATTTGATTGAGTCATTAAAGTTTAGGTACACAGGGAATTCAGTCTTGCTTACATCTCAGGCTCTACCTTATGATATCCCAGTACTACTGAGCTTCCTATAATGGTACTTAAGTGAAAGTGTTAGTCTCTCAGACGTGTCCAACTGTTTGCAACCCCATGGACTATAGCCTGCCAGGCTCTTCTGTCCTTGAAATTTTCCAGGCAAGAATTCTGGAGTGTGTAGACATTCCCTTCTCCAGGAGATCTTCCCAACCCAGAGATCAAACCCAGGTCTCCTGCATTGTAGGCAGATTCTTTACCATCTGAGTCACCAGGGAAGCCCCTAATGGTACTTAATTGTATCCCAAATCAACTCTAGGCTAGCGTCCTAAATGATGTCACCAGTTCACTTGGGCTGAGTATTGCTACCTCACACAATAGCAATGATTGAAAAATTTATTTTTTTTAGAATTTTCTCAAACTTGGATTCATATAATAAATGTTTTTCATTTTATCCTAAGGCACAGTAGTTGAAAGACAAATATGAACAAATTTATCATGCATGCCTGCCTGATCTGGTAACCATTCTAATTATATAACTAGTAATCATAATTAGTGTGGTTCTAGTTAGATTCATTCCAGGGCAACATGGTATTTTTGCTCCTGAGGACTACTGATCTAGAAAGGTGAGGAGGGAAAATTGAATCTCCTCTGGACTCAGACTGTGCTGAAAGTCTCAAAGATATTTTGAGGAAAAAAGGTCCTAGTTCTCTTTGGTTCACTGATACTGTGTTAGGCATCTCAAACCAAAGTACCCTGAAATCCAAGAGGTGCCAGAGCTGAACTATTTTTGAGATTTGAATGGATGTCTCTGGAGAAGAGCAAGGGTTATAATGATGCTGTCAGACTAACTATGATCCTGATAATTATTTTTTCTGGTCCTATCAGAATTACTCCAAAGTTGGACCAAATATACCCAATAGAGTTCACCTTACACCTTTGTTTGGGGGAATTTAGCTCACCTTGGATTTCATGTCTGTAGATCTCTCTGTGATGTTTCAAATCTGGATATTAGTGCAGAATTTTTCTTTGCATATATATGGACATATGAATGATGAAGAACCTCAGGATTTTCCAAATAAAGATACTTTTATGCAACTGTTAATTTTTTCCTTGAACAGGAACAAGTTGTTCAATGAGCTCATATTGTGTTGCCAGTGTTTGAGGAAAATGTACAAACAGTATTTGCTTCTCATTTTCTTAGACACCAGGGCCCTATGCTTCTTTATACTGCCAAAACTTCCTTTGGAGTTTATTCTTTTTACTATACTGTAGCTAAAGAATGCTCAGTGTGACTGTCAAGGGTGCTTTGAGATTCTCAGATCCCTTAATTTTCAGTTACTTTTCTCTGAGAACATTCCTAGACAAGGGAACCCAGGATCACTATATTTAACCAAAGGAGAATGGCTGGAAGAATTTTGTACTCAAAGGGCAAGAGTCTGGATTTAGACCCTTGACTTCAGATTGTGGGGTTTTTTGTTTGTTTGTTTTACTTTTAATTTTAATGGAGACATACTGGTTATAGTCAATATGTTCTACATTTTACTAATTTGGGTAGATAAAGAATTCATTCAAATAATATTGAGTTGCCCAAGAGATGCAGAGCCAGAAACAGTGCTCCAAATGATAACATAGAACTTGTGTGGTGAGATCACCACTGCTGTTGCTGTATGCAGAATCCCCAGCTTACACTATTGACACCATGGATGCTGGGCTCTGGGTGTCCCTGCTACTGTCACCTGGATACCTTGGGTTACCCATCACCCAGATGGAATTTCCACAGCCCCCATTCCTTTGTCGAGGAAAGCAATAGCAACCCACTCCAGTACTCTTGCCTGGAAAATGCCATGGATGGAGGAGCCTGGTAGGCTGCAGTCCATGGGGTCACTAGGAGTCGGACATGACTGAGCGACTTCACTTTCACTTTTCACCGTCATGCATTGGAGAAGGAAATGGCAACCCACTCCAGTATTCTTGCCTGGAGAATCCCAGGGATGGGGGAGCCTGGTGGGCTGCTGTCTATGGGGTCGCACAGAGTTGGACACGACTGAAGCGACTTAGCAGCAACATTCCTTTGTACCATCNTGGAGAAGGAAATGGCAACCCACTCCAGTATTCTTGCCTGGAGAATCCCAGGGATGGGGGAGCCTGGTGGGCTGCTGTCTATGGGGTCGCACAGAGTTGGACACGACTGAAGCGACTTAGCAGCAACATTCCTTTGTACCATCAGCTTGCTTGTTTTTTTTTATCTTTAAAAAAATTTTAATTGGAAGGCAATTACAATATTTTTTATTTTGAATTTGTTTATTTTTAATTGAAGGATAATTACTTTACAGAATTGTGTTGGTTTTGGTTTTTTCTGATTGCCCCAAACACATCTGTGAGCTGGGTCAGGGTGGAGATAAGATGGAATGGTAAGAATCTCTGCTTTCTGAATTATTATCAATCCTAGTATCACTCGCAACATGCCTAAAACCTGATCAGTGGGTTGATGAACTGACTGAGCCAAATTTCCTAGTTGCCAGGTGTCTGAATTACATTTATCATCTATAGAGCCTTTGAATTAATATGTCTCAGCTCGCCCCCAGTACTGTAGCTCTTGTCATGGCTTCCCAGAAAAGCAGCTGATGGAACGTTCTTTATCCTATACTTTCTACTGGCATATGGCACTTTTTGCAATGCTATGTCTCTGTAGGTCTCAGAGTACCTTGAAAACAAGTCAGTGTTGTCACTCAGCATATTTTACCACCTGATTTGGTGCTGAGTTGGGGAGTCACACTCAAATCTTTTAACCAATGTTTTCCCTCCCTGAATTTGAGTTATTTGGTAAAATTACACCTTCTGGCAAGGACAAAAATTTTGCCCTATGCAATTTCTGCAGACAATCTCTAGGAAGGGTAACCAAAAAGTAGAGTGCTCAGGGGTGCCAGAGGCTCATGGGTTTGTTGCACATTTGGGAGTTTCACAGGACTGCAACCCCTTCCTGTTGAGGTTATTTCTGGGTTGAATAGTGCTGGGTTTAATAGGCTTTTGTCTCCTTGCTTCTTTGCATTCTCATTTGTGGT